CCCCAAAACCCCAAAACCCCAAAACCCCACGCATTAAAATCGTAATTGAACCAATTCTGTTATCTAATTCCCAGACCTTCATTGCCTTCTGACTATCCTTTGACTATTTTGACGTCACCTAAGTTTAAACGTATTTCTTACTCCCTAACATTACACTAGAGGCTTACCATATTGGACTTCGTTGTCTTTGAAGGTCTCGCCTATATCAGCTTTCTCCTTCTCAGTTATTGTGCAATTGTTGAAGCTTATTCCTCCTTTGAGTCGAGACTTCAGAGCCAGAATGGAAGGTAGGTAAGGAGATATGCTGAAAATGGAGGCTCCTAAGCTGAAGTAGAGAAATATGAGGCCGTCAGGTATTTTGGACATGAAGGTGGCGAATTCATCTATGGGTCAGAGTCGAAAACGCTAATCCAATTCCCAAATCTTACCTTTCCCAGCATGCACAGCATCCATCACACTGATCTTGTTCAACCCTTCCATCACCTCCTGGTCCATGAGCCCAAACAATTTCCTACAGAACTTTTTTTCCAGCCAAAACTCCACTTCCTGATCCTTCCCCATATTCTGGATGAACAGTCGGCCTAAAATAGAGCAGAGGCTTACAGTCAGGGTCCTTAACCATCTCTTTTTGTAGAGGAGAGTTCTGTGCAGGTTTAGGCTTGGAGAGAGGCTTTATTAGGTGAAGAGATCTGGACTTACTTGGGCCTTAGCTTCTTCGATGGGGTTGCTGTGGGAGGGGTGTTCGTTGGCAGGGATGGAGGGGTCTAAAGGAGGCTTAACACTCAGAAGAATCACTGCATTTATAATAAAGCCGCTATATCACAACTAGGAACATTAGATCAGGTTCTCTGAGTTTTATGATTTCTATTGCTCCAGATAAATTTTTGTTTAAACAAAAGACGGCAACTGAATTTACTAATTTTGCTAAAAATTAAATTCAAACAAAATTTTATGAGACAATCTTTCGACCAAAATGGAAAACTTTTGCTTGATAAAACCTTCTCAAACTCATATTTAAATGTGGCAGGATCAGGAATCTGGTTCTGCTTGTATCAAGATTTAGCAGACTCGCTGTCAAGCATCAATAAGAAATAAAAATCTGAATAATTTCCATCAAGAAAAGATGTGCTATGTCAAGTCAATATTTTCCATAATAATAGGTAAAACCGTTAGTGTGTTCACACAAGAATGCCTCCAGTTTAAACCTGAAACTACGAAGAATTCTGATGATGGTGATTATTGGAGAAATGAGTAATAAAAGATATAAAAATAAACAATAAAATGCTAGTACTAAACTTCATGAATGATAAAATAGACCATACTCGTGATTAGCATGGAATTTGTTTCATAAAAAATTGAGTTGTTTTCTCTTGTGAAGTTATCAGATATACACTTGATTATTAATCAGAAAGCCAAGTATCTAATAAAACTAGGTTCTGAAGAAAACTTGATTAAGGCTAAGAATTCCAAATTGAATGCAGCAAAGCCTCCAAATCGTTTGAAAAATTATATAAGCTAACTTATGAAGCAGGATAATTTGAAACTTTGTTTGCCTGAAAACAATCTAATATGATATATTACTTGGTTCATTTCACCTTAGCAACTATATCTAAGGCGAGTCTAGCTACAAGCTTAGCATCTCCGTACTCGTATCAAGCACAAAATTCTTCTGAAGTAGAGAAATAAGATTCTTAAATCAAGTCAAATTTTGTTTGCCCATCAAAGAAAATTATAGTTCCTAAAGTTCAGGCTAATAAACCAGAGAAGTAAAAGAAAAATTAAGACTAAACCCGGCTTGATAAGAATTTGTTACCTTGCTTTGCTAAGGCCGGAGCCTCATCTGAATTCATTGCTATAATAAAAAGATCACAAACATGGGAATCTGGGATTGATAGCTTGATCAGTATATGTACCTTCTTTCGAGAGACTCCAAAAGAACTCAGTAGTAAAGCTATTAAACAAAGACTCATTGTCTACTTCAGTCTTTAGTTGTGAAGCTTCCTTATTTCAAATCAGTGAACATCAAGATTGACTTATTAGCGTTCGCTTCTTCAACCTTTGTCTTTAATTGTTGGAAGCTGTTATCTAGCTTTGTATAAAGCAATTCGCTTTCCTCCCTAATACTTCCTTTAAGCTTGTCTTCAGTAAATGCCAAGAATATCTTAAGGCCATTTTCGATATCTTTGATCTTAGATTTGACGACATCTGGGGAGGTAAGTCTTATGCCGTCTTCAGGCTCACAGTTTAGGTCGAAGTGGCGTCTACAGTAATACTGATCGATTTCCTTGACATAATATTGGGCCTCTTCACCACAATTTTCATCGCAATATTTTGAGTACGATTCCATTTAAACTTTTAATATCAATGACAAACAAATTTTTACCTCTTTATTAACTTTCAGCCGTGTACGTACCCTCTGGGGTTTTGGGGTTTTGGGGTTTTGGGGTTTTGGGGTTTTGGGG